TGATGGACTCTGCTGCATGCTGAACCCTTCTGCCATGCCCATCTTGGTTGGCAAATCCAGGAATCTAACAAGATAAAAATATTATTAAAAAAAAATCACTCACTTTATACACCCCCACTGATCCTAAAAAAGAATCTCATTCTTTTGGTCATGCCTGCTGTTACCTTCCACTTTCTGATCTAGAACCCTGAATGTCACTGCCATCCGTGTCAGAACAATCCTTCTGGGATTCAATTTCTGAGTTAACCTCACGATTTCTTCGATGCCTACGGTCCTGATCATCCAGACAATGAAATAAATCAAAGATCAGTCTAAAATCATTCAGTAAAACTAATCATCCCTTAGGCATGGGAATATGTATGGTAAGGAAATGAAGGGTTGATGCAGGCCAAATGAAAACAGACAAAGGCCAATAAGTTCATTTCGAGAAAAAGATACACTGAAAATGGATCAGTAAAATGAGCTGAGTGATCAACATCCTAAGTAGGGCCAACTAGGTCGATTAAGATTAGTTGAGGCGAAAATGGCTTTTGAATATCAAGGGCAATGTAAAGAATTAAAGAAAACAATGCTTTTGAGATAAAAGATCATGTTAATGGTGATTGATGAGAAAGTAGAAAAATACAAACCTCTCTTGGTACAGGGTACTCCTCTGACTCAAGCATGCGCACAACTTGACCCATCTTGGGTCTTTTCTCTGAATCTGGATCTACACATCTCAAAGCAGTTAAGAGGGCCCGTTTCAAAGCTCTGGTAGATGGCCTCACCTCAATGTTTGGGTCCACTACTTCTTCTGATCGCCTGTTTCCAACCATCATCTTCAGCCAATCAACCATATTAACCTGAGGGCATTGTAATTCAATATAAATGTCAAAATTCCTTCATCAGGATTTCACAGCATGAAATCTTAGTCATTATAATTATTTAATTTTTTATAAAAAATATTATAAACTTGTGTTTAATTGTATGGATGGATCATGTTCCAATTCGGTTGTGCGTAAAAACTCTTCAAATTAGTGATAAACTAGAAGTGATATTTAGTCATTGACCCAATGAAATGAAAAATACTCGTGGTGGGACAAAAAATAATAGTGTGGTTGGATAAAATAAAAGCACTTTACTCTCGCATGTTAAATTCCAATAGAGAGAATCCATTCCCTAAATCAATTGATATAACTATAACAAACTGTGATTTAGAAATAAGCAACTGGGAAGTACAGAAAGAACATCTAAAACTTTTATTGTCAAAAATCAAGCACAAGATCCTCAAGTGGGATATCCACTGAAATAAGATAATAACTAAACAAGAAATAAACTGGGATAGCAATATCCCCATCTGAACAAACTATAAATCCCTAGCTGATAATGTTACAACCCATAATTAAACCCCTAATTAACTTTTAAATATCTATTTCCCAAATGGAAGCCCTAAATAATCAAGTCATCAAAATTCTGCATCATAGTTGTAATCTATATTACAGCAGCAAAAAGAAATGAGAACAAAAAGAATAATGAATGAGAAATATAGAACTGATTCATCAATATTACACAAGTTAGGTCCAGGTTTGCCAAGATTGCGAGTTCAAGTGTAAACAAGTAATGAGGACAGCTGACATCAAAAAGGTTAAATTAATTTGAAGGTTCCTGAGCATAGATCCTTGTAGTTTAAAACTATGAATTGGTGATATGATTGTTTCAAAAATATATATATTGGGTCCATAAAGGGATCTAACAATAAACTAGATTTAGGCACTCCGTTGAAAAGGTTTTTGAAATTAAATTTTGAAATCATGGGGACTACTTACTTAAACAGCCCAAATAACTATAGGTTGAGCATCCACAAATAATTATTGCAGGTGCCAAGCTGAAGTTCAAATATTGCACAGCTAAAATGAATGCGATCAAGGACGCCAACTTTATATCCTAAATTTTAGCTAACTATGTATGATGTTAGAACATTTTAAGTCTAGGGAATATCAGTTATAAAGGGCAGGGTAACAAGTTTGTTAGATAGAACTGAAGGGGTCCTTTGTCGTAATAATAGTTGCAATAGAAAACATTACTAGCATTGTTGAGAATGTTCAAATTTTTCACTGGTTGAGGGGATAGCTTACAAGGTGAAGATTAACTCCTCTAGCTTTTTCAACTAGTCACTGGGTTTTCCATCATAATGACCCATGATTTGCTTTAGTTATAGTATTGGATAAAATAATTAGAGATATTACATAGATTATTTATGCATCGGACCACCAAAACAGACCAGTACAAGATATACTATATGGTCAATTTAGAACCAAGCAGGTAAAATAGGTCCATTTAAATGTGTCTAGCTGGAAGCATTAGGAATTGGGACAATTTTATCCTTAAGTTGACTACAACAAGGTAGGAGAAATACAAGCAATATACTCATTGATGTTCTATTATTGGGTAAGGTACACATGAGAATTTGCCCAATAATAAAGAAAGTGTTAAAAATGAGTCATAGAGTATGTTGCTAACATTTTTCAATAAGGTACTAAGGTAGTAATATTACTTGTCTAAAAACATGTTGAGATAAGAGACCTCAAAACAATAAGCCAAGTGCAAAGCTAATGCTTCTTGATTTTTCAGTGAATTGTTAACAAGAACACAGACATCAAAATAGATTTTCTCCCAACATAAAAATTTACTCACTTCCTGTGATGGACGACCATGGTCAACTGGATCCCTTCCAGTAATTGCTTCCAATAACACAACACCGAAGCTATAAACATCACTTTTTTCATTTAGAAGACCAGTATTTGCATATTCAGGAGCCACATATCTGTCAATTTTATGGAGCAAGAAAGAAGAATAAATATAAGGATCCAACTCATCAAAGTTCCTCATAACAATATTGAGCATGGAAAAAGAACATAGCTCTAAAGGGAAGAGTACGAAAATACAGACCCAAAGGTTCCCATAACTCGCGTTGCAACATAACTCTTCCCAGCACCCAGTAACTTGGCCAGGCCAAAATCAGAAACCTTGGCATTAAATTCATCATCAATTAATATGTTGCTTGACTTGATATCTCGGTGTACCACTTTTGGCTCAATCGCTTCATGCAAATATGCAAGCCTGAAACAAGTATATTACTTCAAATTAGGACTAAGATAACCCAAAGATTGAGAACTACGAAAGCCAGAAGAAGCATAGGCACAGCAACTCACGCTTTAGCTGTGCCAAGGAGAATCTTGATACGTGCTTCCCAGGTAAGATATCCATGATGTCTCATAGCTCCATGAAGCCATTGCTCTAAGTTCCCATTATTGACATACTCATAGACTAACATCCTGAAAATATGCCCAATATAGGAGAAATATAATGAAGACAACAAACTTAAACCATTGTCATTTACCAAAAAAAAAATTGTCTGTTAAACTTTAGACTGACCTCACCACCAGGTAGTAGGTTAGTGAATATGCAAATCATGCAAGAATTTTTAAGATTATAATGATTCTAGCAATCATAATTCAATTCATCTAATGAAGTTGTTGAGAATTGAGATTATATATGTTGAGACTGTAATGTAATTGACAAGTAGGATACCTGTGAGTCCACTCCATGCAGTACCCCAACAGACGAACCAGATTTTTATGCCGCACATGACCAATAGCTTCAACTTCCACTCTAAATTCTTTTTCAGCTTGACCACTAAAGAAAAGGGACAAAAAGAAAACTATTCAAAGTTTGGCAGAAGTAAGAGGAATAGAAGCAAACCAATTAAAATAAAATTCAAAGGCTTAGACATTGCACTAGAACTCACATGTTATTGAGTATCTTTTTAACTGCGACTGGAGTCCCATTGATCAACTGTCCCCGGTAAACAACTCCATACCCACCCTCACCAATTACATTTTCTTTTGAAAAACGGTTTGTAGCATGTTCAAGATCTCTCAGTGTAAACCAGTGACCCCAACCCAAATGAGAGAATTCTGGAAGGCCAGAGAGAGGTGAAGGAGCTGTTAAAGGGTATGAAGAAGAGGGATTGTACGTTCCAACTGTGCCAGAGCTAATTTCTTCCCCTGATTGTGACCCTCCTCCATCTTTCTCCAAGCCATGAAACGAACCCGAATAACTGCCACTATCCCCATGCTTCATCATCCCTACGCCTAAATGAAGCATAACTTTGTCTGATTCTTTGTCACTGGATTTATCATGAATTGTAAGAAGTATTCCTTCCCGAGGAACAAATTCATTTGCCGGCATTCGCTCAACCCGCACTTCCTTGATTTCCTTTGAGACCGTAGGTATATGAGTATGACTAACAGGAATCTCGTCCCTGGCTTTTACAGGTTTCTTCCTTGAAGTAAGGCAAAATGAGAGCACACAAAGGATGACAATAATAAACAATCCAACCCCAATTCCAATTATTTCCCAAACCATAAGACCAAAAACAGAAGTTGTTTTGGACAATTTAGCTTCAAGATCAGCACCCATCTCCTGGAACCCCTGATACCTACAATATATATGCAAGAAAAAAGAGAGATAAGCTTGCATTACAACCTAAAAAATCACATTAATATTCATTGTCTATTCCTTATGTAATTGACACTAAGGAATATGAACAAGTAACAGAAGACAGTCCGTTACGACTAGACAATGAAGCAAAAGATAAATAGAATATTCAACACACTATAAAGCATTAACTCTTGAAAACACACAAACATTCCCAACACGGAGAAGAAAAAGACATGAACATGTGAAGAACCCTAAATACAGAGGCACAGACTTGAAAGTATTACCTATCTACACGGAACGAGATTCACAACGAAAACACAGCCCAACGAAACCCAGATTGTTACATCTCAAGCAAGGGACACCAAACCCCAAAAGGCCAGATCTTTAACTAAGGGGAAAGCAAAAAAAATAAAAAAAAAATAATGTGGAACACTGAGAACCCAGTTCTCAAAAATAGATAAAAATTGAAAATGTGTTTGTTGTGATGAGAAAGGAAGTAGTGGGGTGGGGATGATAAGAAGAAAGGGTGGAGTTAGGTTATAGTATGTGTGAGAAGGATAAATCCAAAGTTGAAGTGCATTAAAAGAGAGAAGCGTGCAATGCAATTTGTGACTGCGGTGTATCTCTTCTCTCGGAGATTCCGCATGAATCCGTTATGAAGATTAGATTTATAATTCTAATAATATCAGAAATTGATTTCACCCTTTCTATCTTCAGTTTTCATTTGACTTGATGGACTCTGCTGCATCAGCATTCAGCATAACATAACAGCTACTACTACTTACTCTCCACTCTTAACTGCCCCAACATTTTTGTTGTCTAAATGAAAATATTGCATGTTATTATTATTACACTCTTATTATTTGTCTTTTAAATGACATTTATGGAGATTATTAACACGCATTTAAAGTGAAATAATGTATAAAAAGTTATTTAATATAATTATAATTTATAATAAAAAAATTTAAAATATTGTAATTATAATAAATTATTTCTTATTATATGAATTATATTTATATTTATGATAAATAATTTATATTGTGATAATACTTTTTAAAACAGTTATTTTAATTTATATACAATTATTATTATTATATATTAATTATTTTCTAAAGAAAAACTTAATTAATGTTATTTTTTTAATTTAATAAGCAGATAATAGAGTAAGATTCTCATTGGAGTAGTTTTGATGTTATGTTAACCAACTTTTTAAATTTTGGTAAATTTTGTAAATGAGTTTTATATATATAAAAAACTAAATAGTAGTATTATCATAACATCATATTGTTATACCATTACTAGTAATATTTTTTATTATTAACAATTTTATGAATAAAAGAAAGAAAGAAATGATGAATGTATGTGATTAACGGGTAGTTTTTTTTCTTTTGTATGTGAGAATCGAATTTTGTAGAGATTTATAACAATCACGTATTTTACCTGATGGTTAAAATATTATTAAATTTATTTCTTTTATTAAATAATCAATTTTATCTTTAATTAATTATTGAGTTTGTGAATATCTTCATGGATTTTATAAGGTTCTTATAGTATTTGTGGTTAGGTACGAGAATAAATCAAACATCCTATTGTCTGTTTTTATCTGATTATTAAATAAGTTAAACCAATATGTGTATAAAAGTCTATTCAATTATTATTATTAATCAAATTTTATATAACATAAAAAAATTATATATTAAAGGTTGAAATCATTGACTTATTTATATAAAATTTTAGATATATTAACTAATTTAACTTAAAAAAAGTCTCATTTTAAAAATATAATTAAAAATTAGATTTTCAAATAAATCTTTAGGGAAAACTCAACTTTTAAAATAAAAATAATAATTTTTTCTATTTTTTAAAATAGAAAAAATTAGGTCAAATTAAATTTAATTATTATGCTATATGGATAAAGTTTTATGTTTAAATACTAGATGAATAAATTTTTTATACTTTTCTTAGGCATTTTCTTAATCTAAAACTTTTAACTAAAATGACAGTTACATCACTCAACTTAAATTTTCTATATATAATAATAATTGAATCAAAGTTTATGAGTAATTAAAAAAAATTAGTATAATATATGATATAAGACTATGAATCTAGAGAAATATTTGGGATTACTTCTCCTTTTGAACGTATGAAAAGTCTTATTATAAGGATAAAATTACATCGAAGTTGGCAAGACGAAAAAAATAATTTATTGAGTTGAGCTAGGAGAATCACTCTTACTAATTATGTGTTGTCTCTACTTACATGATGGAGAATCTATGGTTGCCTAAAGGAATCTATGCCAAGATAAATTCTTACATTTGTGGTTTCATTTGGGAAAGGGGGTCCTCACTACCACTAGGTTAATTGGGATAAAATCACAATACCTAAGAGTAAGGTTGGTCTTGCTATTCATTGTACTTGGGATGTCAATGTGTCCTTATTGGAGAAAAAGTTTGGAGTATTATTAAGGAACCTGACAAACTTTGGGTCCAACTGTTGTTCCACAAATATCTCATAACAACCCCCTATTATATATGGAAGTTTTCTCCACCCATGCCAACTCCTATACTTGGTTTTTCATATTGAATGTGTTAGAGTTAAGCCTAACTTTAGAGTACAAGTTAGGAAAAGGGATGTTTCCTTATGTTATGACTCCTTTTTTGGACGAGGGACCTATCAAGGATATTGTGAACTTTGTGCACATATTTGATTTTGATTTACACATAAATGACATTTCAATTAATGGAGTTTGGAAGTGGGATCTTCTATACACTTCAATCCCATCTAATGTTAGGGCATTGCTTATGAATATTATCCTTTATGTTGATACTTGTGACATATACATATGGAGACCAGCTAGTAATGGTAATTACACTACTCATTTTGCTTATAGATGGATATCTAAAGAGTCCAACAATAAATCGCAAACCTAGTGAATTGGAACTAGATTTAGAAAAGTCACCTACTAGAAAATATTAAACAATTTTTATGGATTGCCATCATGATAATCTCCTAACTAATTTTTTTCATGTTCCATGACATGTTTCTTCAAATCTCTTTTATTGCAAGTGTGGTGCTTATGAGGAGAATTTGTTACATGTTCTACAAGTTTGTAACCTCTCACAAAGGGTTTGGAGACAACTCAACCTTGCCAACAACAATGACTTCCACTTATTATATGTCCAACATTGGTTTCTGTCCTAGTTTTAATGCCCTTTGGGTTTCCTTTTTGTATGCGCTTCTTGACAATTATGGAAGGATTAGAATGAGGTTGTTTTTGATGATAAAGATTGTCTTTTATGGTCCACCTTCAACAACATATGCGACCTTCATAATTCTATTGATCTTTCCATCTTGAAGTTTGACATTACTACTCATCAAATCAAAGAACATCTCTTGATCCCCTCTTCTTGTAGTGATAGTCAAACTCAATGTTAATGACAATTGTTGGGGGCAACTTGGGACCTTTTGGGTTTGGCTGTATTGTTTGTGACTCTATGGGTCCCTTAGCTTGTTAGGTTCTTAGGGTATTGTGGCTACACTAATAATATTTATGCGGAACTTCATGCCATCCACAAAGGCTTGGAGTTGACTTGGAACATAAGTTATGATAGTGTTGTTTGTGAGTCAAATTCACTTGGGACTATTAATTTGACTCTTGATAAAAATGTTATTTTTCATCTAATTATAATCATCAACAACAACTTCATTAGATCCTTTAGAACCTAACAATGACAAATATCTTTCCACCATATACATCGAGAGGCCAACAGGTGTACAAACTCTTTAGCTCCTTATGACTCATCTATAACCAATTTAGTTGTTTGATAGAATAATCCTTCTCTCATTAGTTCTTTTGTATTAGTTAATGTCACAAAAATTTATTTTCTCAGAGTTTAACTGCATTTTTCTTTTTTTCTTTTCACTTTTTTCCAAATAAAGAAATCTGAGTTTTATGCGTATATAACTCTATCTAAAATTGAGTGTATAAAAATAAATAATAAAATGTTTTATTTATAATATATTTAAATTTTCAAATATTAAAATAAGATAAAACGAATAAGAGAGAGACAATTATATATAAACATAATATACAACTTATTTTATAATGTTAGTTCATTTTGAAAGATATAATGTTATTTATACATATATTTTCGGTACATAAATTGTTGTGAAAATACGGAGAAATAAGAACTTATAGTTGCTTGTGTTAATTAGTTGGCCACTCACAAGGCCATAACTTATCCTTTTTATCCTCCAAGCTCGTCTCTTTCACAGGTCATTCTCATGACTAACCATACTTTTCAATTCAATGCCCAACTTTTAATAATTAGTTGCATTTTAAGCGAAAATTACGTGAAAAAGAGTATAATAAATAGTGTATGAAAATAACACTTGGCTAACAATGCAATATCTGACAAATGAAGCCACAATCATTTTCAAGAAAAGGAAATGAATAAAAAATGAAAGAAAGGAATAATTATATGATGTTATCGTAAATGTGATACATGAACAGGAGAAAAAGAAATGCTTGCTGGCAATTTGGAATTATTGGTCGATCTCATCTCCAACATCTCATATCAGTTCCATATATAATGTTTCTCTGGACCCACGTTTTTGGACTCCAATATCCACCCATTCTTTTCAAATGCTGAACTTGCAGGTTTATTCAATCAATTTCGTCAAGCTTAGTGGTTTCATGTTATTAGACCCCATAAATTCTAATCAACACGGGGGGTTGGCTGCTTTTAATTATAATGACACCTCTTTTAAGTTATAAATGATTGTTTTAAAAAAATATTCAAACAGGGGCTTCAAGTGAGTCAACTTAGTTGATCAACTTACTCCACCCCACCTTCAACCTATCAAATTGATAGAATAGATGAAATAGATTGGTAGATTAAACTATTTTAATTAATCCTACCATGTTTTGGTAGATTAACCAAACAGGTTAAATCCACTTTATTAGTCATATAACTATTTAACAAGCTATTTTCAAGTTTTATAGTAAAAAATCTTTTTGTATCTATCAATATTAATCATTGATGAATTGATTTGAGTTTGTTTGTGATAAAAATTATTTCTAAATAAAAAAGATTTTATAAAAAGATATAGCATTACTCTTTCAAGTTCATGAAGAGAGAGATCAAGTGAATGAATAAAATCAACCAAAAATTGAAACACATTAAACTATAATTTTGTGTGTGTGAAGTATAACTATAAAAACAATCGTGCAAGAAAGTTAAAAACAAGACAATATACATCTATCAATTATTAACATTAGAATAAGACTAGTAAAAAAAATAATGTTGCTTAACCCAAATAATACTTAAAAAAAAAAACATGAAGGAGAAACCCTACCATATTAAATTGAAATATATAATGACCAATCTCAAGCAAATTATAAAATCTAATAATCATATGCAACAACCATTTATATTGTATGAATATGAAATTGGGAGATCCTAAACGGATTAGTTACATATTTATTTTATACTTTACCATGCGAAAAATCAAATCTGGAGCCCTTTACGTTAAAACGAGGCGACTTGAATGGTCTAAATATTTTCACTTCAAATTTTGATTGATATGATATCATCCTATTTGTATTAACAAATTTAGACTAAACTAAGCCAATTCACTCCAGAATCATAAAGGGAAAAAATGCAAATTATCCATAAAAGACCAAAACAAAATGCATTTGATTTTGATTAGGGAAACGATGTTTGGGGTTAAAACAA